TGCATTACAATACTGCGGAGTTGATTTCTATGCCATAACTTTACATTGTCCAGGCAAATAGAGTAAGAAAAATATGTGTAAATTAAAAACCCCAGCTTAAATAATGTGAAGACAGAGGTAATGGCAGCATCAAAGAAAATATTAGTGCCTTAATGTACAATAACTGTTAAAGACGTTCTTGTAAAGAAAAGTACATTATTGTAACTATTAAAGCACATGGATTACACTTTACAGAAGATGTATCACAGAGAAAAATAACAGAATAAATAAAGTAAGTAAAGTAAAGGACCCTCTTTAACTCCTTCGTACTGTGCATACCAGACTAGACCTATGGGGGGAGGCGGGGGGACGGCAAGAGAAGATGCTGGAAAATGTAACACCGTGGCTTGGCAGATTGTGTCAGCGTTGATTGAAAGTACACGGGACAGAAGGTTGTGGATAGACATGACTGCCACCAAGCATGGACTCTCAGAAAAAGAATTACATAGGATTCTGCCGCTTGTCCTTACACATGATTTTCATATGTATGTCATGTGTATGACCTATATATGTAATGTGTATGTCCTGTGTATGTCTCCTGTATGTCCTGTGTATGTCATGTGTATGTCATGTGTATGTCATGTATATTCATGTATATTTTCTCTTTATGTCCTGTGTATGTCGTGTGTATGTGCTTTGTATGTCTTGTGTATGTCATGTGTATGCTATGTATATTCCATGTGTATGTCCTCCGTATGTCCTGTGAATGTCATGTGTATGTCATGTATATGTCATGTTTATGTCATGTGTATGTCGTGTGTATTAGAAATGTATCTATACCTGGGAACAAACGAATTTGCTTTTTGGAATAAAGAAGGCGCTAAATAACAAAGGTGTTTTACTTCTGGTTATTAATTTCAAACACAATCACAATATTCTATCACAATCATTCAGAAGTTAAAGAAATTCTTAAATACAAGACGCACTGTAAATAGGAAGCTCCTTAAAAATAAAAGTGGTCAGCTAGTTTTTAAAGAGCGTCGGAATGTTGTAACTTTGTAAATGTTCAGTTTGAAATTACATTTTTAGTTCTATCAAACCATGAGTAGTTCCGAAAAACAGGGTAAATATGACTATTTCGTTTTAAGATCCAGGTCTGAATTTTTCTCGAAAGAACCGTCCTAATAGCATCATGGTACTGAAGCTCCTAAGATAACCAGTTACAGGATTCAAATGTTAATAGTCGCTTGACTACCTGACACAATAGTCAAATAATTATGATACAATAGTCACTTGACTACTTGATATAATAGTCACTTGACTACGGAATACAATAGTCACTTGACTACTTGATGCAATAGTCAATTGACAACTTGATAGAATAGTCACTTGACTACATAATACAATATTCACTTGACTACTTGATACAATAGTCACTTGACTACGTAATACAATAGTCACGTGAATACTTCATACAATAGTCACTTGACTTCGGAATATAATAGTTCCTTTACTACACGAGACAGTAGTCACATGACTACTTGATACAATAGTCACTTGACTATAGAATAGAATAGTCACCTGACTATGGAATACAATAGTAACTTGACCTCATGAGACAGTTGTCACATGTCTACTTGATACAATAGTGGAATAGAATAGTCACTTGACTATGGAATACAATAGTAACCTGACTAGATGAGACAGTAGTCATATGACTACTTGATACAATAGTCACATGACTACTTGATACAATAGTCACTTGCCTATGGAATAGAATAGTCACTTGACTATGAAATACAATAGTAACCTAACTAGATGAGACATTAGTGACATGACTACTTGATACAATAGTCACTTGTCAACTTGCATTTCTAATCCTTCACAAGTCAGCCAATGGCAGGACACTAAGATTTTTTGAAGCCGCCGCTATTCGTTACCAGAACTATGCACACACACACACAAAACACACACACACACAAAATGATTCTGACACTACAGCTGCCCTAGTGAAACAAGAAGTCGAGCTTGACTGTTGCTGAATTAGAACTTTAGTTATAAAACATTCACTTGTGTGCTTCATTTATGTAATTGTGACTTTGTATGCAGCTGACGAGATACAGCGATATTTGCCATGCAATAAGCAGTGCAGTCTGTGTATTCTATGTTCAAATGCCATAACTGTCTGTTTATTGGCATATCTATTTGTTCGGCAACCATCCTGGGTTTAGAAACATTAACAGAAAATCATGTGATATACATAGATAAAGCCACATTTCAAATTTAAAGTGGGTGCTTATGAAAGTCTACATGTGACTGTAGGAAGAGGACATTTAAGTTTGGTCTATCATTGCCAGATGTGTATATTCTTTTGGGACTTGAGTTTACATCCAGCCGGAAACTTTGTGCCACTGGCTTGCTCTTACTCGGGGCCAAATGAAACTTACATTCTTGATCTGTGGCAGTCCAGGAGACATACTTGATTCTCATAGACATTCTTTGTATCTAACTTTCTTGTGTGTTTTTCCTCTTTGTCAGTCACTTGAATGTTTTGTATTGTAATTACCCGATTACATGATGCGTTGTTTTTCTGAAAGTAATTTTGTTGGTGTCTTGAATTTCACAGCTCATTACACTTATTTCTTTGTGTAATAGGCTGGAAAACTACTGTTTTCTACGATTTTGATTTAATCTGGTTTTAAAATGACCAATAGGCCGCAGGAACAGCTATTAGGTTTAGAGAGTAACGCGGAAAAAGTCTGGCCACTGGGTATAAAAGACTTCGTTTAGTCTTTCAGTGATCTATTTGACTTCCAGGCGGACGCTGTGGAGACCTACACGGCTGTTGTAGCCTTGCACTTGGGCCTGGACAGCGTGGGTATGGCGGCCGCAGAGGAAGGCCGTTTTCAGACTCCTATTTTGGCGGTCGCTCTGTTGTCAGCACGGTTGGCAAGACGCCCTGTTTGCCGTTGTTGACTGCACTTAGTCTCAACGCACAGGTGTGATAGATCGGACCGGCTGAGCGACGCTAGACTGGCTCGTGTTCGCGATAATGGTATGTTTCATTTCTTTTAGGTGGTGTTAGAATTGATTTCCATTGTGTATTCTCGCTAGGAGATAGTTTGGTAGCAGGTCGCTATAGCTGATTTGTTGGTCTGCTAGTAGCTGTCAGTATTTTGTTATTCATTGGTTTACTAATTGCTTGGTTAGTTTTTTGCTGGTCTGCTCGTATACCTTTAGTTATTAGTTCTTTAGTATACTTAGTATTCGGAGTGTGTCATCAAGTAATATTGTTATATGTCATCAAGTAAATAACGTTTCTGTATTTGTCGACTTACATTCTCGTTTTTTTAGTTAGTGTGCCTAGGTGTTACCGTTACACTATATTAGACCCCACACATAACATTTCCTGTCAGGGTGATATATATTTGACCTTCTTCTTCTGCCTTTTTATCCCCCAATGGAGCATAGGCCCTCAACCAACTCAAGCCAAGTCGTTCTATCCTTCGCCATTACATGGAGCTCTCCCCATGTCCTCCCAATATTTCTAACCTCATTCTCCAGCTCTCTTCTCCATGTGTTTTGCGGCCTTCCGTTATTCCTATGCCCCTGTGGGTTCCAATGCAAAGACATTCTAGTTATGCTGTTCTCCTGTTTTCTCAGTGTGTGCCCTATCCAACGCCAGCGTCTTTTCCTCACCTCCTGATCCACTGGAGCCTGTTTAGTTCTCTCCCAAAGTTTTACATTAGTTATTCTATCATACCATTTTATTCCCTCTATTCTGCGCAGGCACCAGTTAATGAATGTCTGTAATTTATTAGTAATTGCCTTCGTTGTTCTCCATGTTTCCGCCCCATACAATAGTACTGATTTGACATTAGAATTAAAAATTTTTAGTTTAGTATTTCTTTTAATTTCTTTTGACCTCCACAAATTCCCTAGTGCTATGAAAGCCCCTCTTGCCTTTTGTATTCTTATTTTAATATCTCTATCAGTTCCTCCATCTTTATCTACATTACTGCCCAAATAGGTGTACGACTCCACGTCATGGACGTGGGTTGCCACTAAGAGAAACCACATCACTATTTGCCTGATTCATTCTCATTATCCTTGTCTTTCCCCCATGGACTTTCAGACCAAGCTGCTGTGATCTCGCATTAAGTATATTTAATTTATCTTGTATCTGATTCCGTGAATGGGACAGAAGGGCAATATCATCAGCGAAGTCCAGATCACCAAGCCGTTCTGCAGCTACTGCTTTCATAGTCCAGTCTATAGCCAGTAAAAATAGGAGAGGCGACAAAAGACATCCCTGTCGCACACCCGTCCCCACCTCAAATGCATTTGTTAGCTTTCCCTCATGAAGAACTCGACACCTCATGTCTTCATATGCTGCCCCCACCAGCCATATTTGACCTTACCACCGCCTAAACAAACTGTTTCTCTTTTTTTTTCCTTGTTACTAAGGCAGCTTGAGGTTGGGGGTTTTCTTCTCCCACTCGCCACGTGACATTGTCTAGAGCTCTTGTAGGTTCGGGGTCGAGAAGATTTTAAGGAGTAGATTTCCACATTATCCTTTATAGTTATCTCTTTTCTTTCCTTGATTACAAGATACCCCCTCTGCTTTGCTTCTAGTACATTTGGGCTTTTGTGTCGTATTGTTATTTGACTGTCACAGTGATCCTATCCAGTCTGTGGGCTTTAGAAGTGGCGAGGAGGTCTAGCCACATGTGCCCTGGACATTCTTTGGTGCCAATAACTTTAGTCATCTTATCCCTGGAGGGTTGTTTTATGTTTGTTGAAGCTGCGGGTTTGCTACCTAGACCAATACGAGTCACCATCACAACATTTTGCCATTCCATAGCGTATGCACACCTAGTATTATTAGTTGTGGCACACATTTAGACACGTGACAACCGTCTAGTGACTGTCAGGTGCGATAGATTTCATGGCGGCATGCCTAAGGCCTGTCAAGTTCTGTACTCACTTTCTTGGTCGGCCTATTTGTCTCTTCCACTCTACTACTGAACCCTGTATGGGTGTTTTGCTGTCCATTTAGGTAGCGTTTGTGTGGCATTCCTGACCGTGAAGACTCGCTCATCGAGGTCATGATATCTGGCCATAATGTTGTCAGTGTGTGTTGCTACAGAGCATGTCCCCCAAGTGTCTTGAGGACATTCTCGGTAGTGGTGGAGTACCGCTGCCTCTGGGGAAACCTTACACCTGCGGAAGAAAAATAGAACATATAAGCAAGAGTGTCAGTACCAAGAAATCCTTCTGGGGAGAGAGATCTGAAGGGGTTTGAGTCTTTTTTTGTGTAGCCAGTAATAATATTAATTGCTGTTATAATTATGTGCTGAAAATAATTATTAATAATAATATACTCCCTATCATAGGACATGATTGAAAAGTATGTCTGAACATAGTTGGGGGAGGGGGGAGGGGCAAGCTATCCCCCCCCCCCCCCCTTATTTCCTCCAACCCCCCATGCACATTTACTAGTAATGAGGTTGAAATGTTGATATGGGAGTGGGGGTCAACTTGGATGTCTATAAGACATTTTCCCAGAAGAGATGTTATCTTTCAAATCAATGTATGTCTTAATTCTCTATTGGCGAAATCCATGTGGACAAGTAATTAGCTCTTTCAATAACGATGAACCCCGGCGGGTTCTAGGGTCCTATTATAGGGAAAACAAAAGTAGACCTGCTGCCTACCCAAAAACATGTTGTAAGAGTCGCCTAATTGGAAGCTTTCTTCGAAGTCGGAGTGCATCTGCCTAAGAGGCAAAGTACCAACAGTCTGCACACAAATGCGTCAGGTCTGCCAAACTGATGCACACGCAACACTCATGGGCTGGAACAGGACTTTAGTCCAGAAGTGAATAAACAACCAGAACTTTCCACTAGAGTTTACAGCTGGTGAACGCAAAAAAGAAAGAAGAAGAGTACTAATGAATTCAAAATAGGTTTAATTCCTACTTTTACAACGTCGACCCTTCTTTACCTTTTACGATCAATTCTCTTGTTATGCTAAGCCGTCCAATCTCATTTGTTACTGAAGCTCCTGTTCCAGCGCTGTTTTGTTACAATTCCTTAAGACTAAACAAGTTGCTCCGATGTACAAAGACTTCGGTTGTGGTAGAAGTGTAGCGCGTTTGGGGGCGTCCTGTCCATTCCCTCCTTTGAGCTTTTTTCTTCTGCCTTCCGAACCCCCAGTGTGGAATAGGCCCTTAACCAACTCAAGCCAAGTCGTTCTATCCATCGCTACCACATGCAGCTCTTCCCATGTCCTCCCCATCTTTTTGACTTCACTCTCTACCTTCCTTCTCCATGTGTGTGTGTGTGTGTGTGTTTTTTTTTCTTTCCAGTGCAAAGATATTCTAATTATATTGTTCTCTGGTTTTCTCAACGTGTGTCCTATCCAATGTCAGCGTCTTTTAATTTGTTCACCTCTTTGGTCCACTATAACTTGTTTACCTCTCCAAATTAAACCCACGACCTCTGCATCCCAAGGCGATTGTCTAGCCGCTACACCACTGTGGCTTCCGATTGACTAGTTACGCATTAATTAAATAATTGTTTCTCATTCTTTTCCTCCTTCTTCTTCTTCTTCTTCTTCTTCTTCTTCTTCTTCTTCTTCTTCTTCTTCTTTTCTTCTTCTTCTTCTTCTTCTTCTTCTTCTTCTTCTTCTTCTTCTTCTTCTTCTTCTTCTTCTTCTTTTCCTTCTTCTTCTGCTGCTGCCACTACTGCTGCTGCTTCTCCTCCTCCTTCTGTCCTTCTTTTTCGTCTTTTTACCACTCACCGATTGTGAACTGTGGCGGAAAGCTTTGGTTGTTCGTCCACTTCTGTACTGAGATACTGTTCCAGAAAATATTGAGTTTGTTTGTGGTAGGTTTGATGTATGGTTAGCGAGGCTGGTTTGATTATCTGTATGTATGTATTGTATGACATTACATCGCAATTTTTTTTCTAAATAACAATCACTTTAATTCTAACCAATCACAGAGATCGAATGGGAGCGGGTGACATTTGCAGCAGTAAACTCTACGAAGAAGTTGTGTTGATATAACGTGGTCCATTTATCTTTTTTTTTTCTTCGTCGTCTAAAAATGTTTTGGGGATGGCGGAAGGGGGTTATTGGGTCCTGCTGTTGACGTCAACAACCCAGGTTAGCGATACGTTAATGCAGTGATCCTCATACTGGGCGCCGTGGAATCCAGAGGCGCCGGGAGCTTATATCAGGGGTGCGCGGCAATAATCTGCGTGATAACATTAAATTTGCAGTGTATTTTTTCTTCTTCTTTTTTTAAGTATTCAAACCGCTTGAAGCGTAGGTGTGGCGCGAATTATATATATATATATATATATATATATATATATATATATATATATATATATATATATATATATTTGTTGGTCTGACGAAAATAGTTTGAGAAACGCTGCGTTAGCGTATAGTTAACCCGGTTCGGTGACGTCAGCAGCATGGCCCGTCTGCTGAAGCCGGTGTTGGCTTGGACATTTGATGATTATTTGACTGATATTTGATTGGTGTTTTACTTGCTTGTTTATTTGATATGTAATCGAGTTTGATGGGAGGTTTGATGTATGGCTAGTGAGATTGGTTTGATGTATGGTTAGTGAGGTTGGTTTAATGTATGGTTAGTGAGGTTGGTTTGATGTATGGCTGGTGAGGTTGGTTTGATGAATGGCTAGTGAGGTTGGTTTATTGTATGGTTACTGAGGTTGGTTTAATGTATGGTTAGTGAGGTTGGTTTAATGTATGATTAGTGAGGTTGGTTTAATGTATGGCTAGTGAGGTTGGTTTAATGTATGATTAGTGAGGTCGGTTTAATGTATGATTAGTGAGGTCGGTTTAATGTATGGCTAGTGAGGTTGGTTTAATATATGGCTAGTGAGGTTAGTTTAATGTATGGCTAGTGAGGTTGGTTTAATATATGGCTAGTGAGGTTGGTTTGATGTATGGCTAGTGAGGTTGGTTTAATGTATGGCTAGTAAGGTTGGTTTAATGTATGGCTAGTGAGGTTGGTTTGATGAATGGCTAGTGAGGTTGGTTTGATGTATGGTTAGTGAGGTTTGTTTGATGTATGGCTAGTGAGGTTGGTTTGATGAATGGCTAGTGAGGTTGGTTTGATGAATGGCTAGTGAGGTTGGTTTAATGTATGGTTAGTGAGGTTGGTTTAATATATGGCTAATGAGGCTGGTTTGATGTATGGCTAGTGAGGTTGGTTTGATGAATGGCTAGTGAGGTTGGTTTGATGTATGGCTAGTAAGGTTGCTGTGATGTTAGGCTAGTGAGGTTGTCCTAATGTATGGTTAGTGAGGTTGGTTTGATGTATGGCTAGTGAGGTTGGTTTGATGAATGGCTAGTGAGGTTCGTTTAATGTATGATTAGTGAGGTCGGTTTAATGTATGGTTAGTGAGGTTGGTTTAATATATGGCTAGTGATGTTGGTTTAATGTATGGCTAGTGAGGTTAGTTTAATGTATGGCTAGTGAGGTTGGTTTAATATATGGCTAGTGAGGTTGGTTTGATGTATGGCTAGTGAGGTTGGTTTGATGAATGGCTAGTGAGGTTGGTTTGATGTATGGTTAGTGAGGTTGGTTTGATGTATGGCTAGTGAGGTTGGTTTGATGAATGGCTAGTGAGGTTGGTTTGATGAATGGCTAGTGAGGTTGGTTTAATGTATGGTTAGTGAGATTGGTTTGATTTTTGACTAGTGAAGCTGGTTTGATTTGTTGCATGTATTGTACGGTATGACATCACATATTATTCTCTCTAAATAGATAAACCACTTTATTTTACAATAAGAACTTTAAAAACATTCTTAGACGTTTGATAGGAAAACGTCGACATGTTGTCTTCTTACAGATACTCACTTTCTAAATTCAGCATCCTTGGGAAAGAACTGGTGAGTCGTTGCGATCTTGGCCCTAGACGGCAGATACACGTATTTGTAGGCTTCCCATAGAGGTACAGTTGACTCTCTGTAACGTTTCACCATGAGATCTTCTTCAGGGTTTGTTGGCTTCCATGTCGTTATGAAGAACTGCGTGTAGAGGTAGAAACCGGCGGCTTTGGGCTCCTTTTGTAGCTGCTCCTGTATAAAATAAATGTGATGTGTTTGAAACACAGATAACTTGTATCGTTATGTTTAGTTACAGTTCCCAAAGTGCCTTTTTTTTTAAATATACATAATTATACCGAGTGCCGATTGGTCTGTAAAAAAATGGGTGCTCTTCCCATATGCCCGATTCGCCTAAGGGCGTGTAAAGGGATCTTTACTTTTACTTACATAAATATACTGTGGATTCATGAGTCGCATTTTAGAAAAGAAGAGTTTTAGAAAAAATTGACTCGCTACCCCCAGCAAACAGCCGCAAAAGGTGACTTTTTAGAGATACGTTTGCTTTGAAGTCGGAATGCGTACTATACTAGCGCTAGAGAGCAGTTGCGTATCCGGATGCATGCTCATGTCACCAAGTCCTCTTGAGTTCCGCGTAAGCCGACCCAAGTTTTTCTGTATTTTTAGGTTCGGTGGCAAGTTTTTAAACTATACACCTCCCCCCCCCTCTCTCTCTCTCTCTCTCTCTCTCTCTCTCTCTCTCTCTCTCTCTCTCTCTTTACATTTATATTGTTAATATGTATTGTATATTCAAGGAAATTTACGTGAATGAAAGTGTATTAAACATTTTAAATAACACTATATTAAGACAATTCTCCCAAACCTACTTTTTCCCCTTTTTTAATGTGAATTGTGTGTATCTGTTGGAGGGGGTGTATGTTTTGGCGGGGAGGAGGGGGAGGGGGAGAAAAAAAATTCCGACTCGGTTACCACCCGACCTCGATACGCCACTGGACACCCCCCCCCTCTCTCTCTCTCTCTCTCTCTCTCTCTCTCTCTCTCTCTCTCTCTCTCTCTCTCTCTCTCTCTCTCTCTCTCTCTCTCTCTCTCTCCCCCAACCACCCTCTTTTTCTTTTTAAAGTATTTTATTTGTCTCGCCAACCCTTGTAAAAATCAATGGTTAGAGAAAGTAAATCCGAAAGCACTGCTTCTCCGCGCCTTGTGTAGCACGCCACAGACTTGACAAAACAATGTAACCCAATTTTTTCCAAGACACAAAACAAAAACGAACAACTGAAAACCCACGTAAACATGACGTTTTCGCAGGCCATAGCAAGAAGATGAACCGGTAACATTCAAGAGACACCGCATCATTGAACAACCTGCGCGGGTCATCGAGGCTAGGGATCAGAATGGCCTGTACTTGTAGCGATAACTCTTGTTGACTGCGGAGATAAAACATGAAAGTTGAAGAAGCATAATTTCCGTTACGTCTTCCTGTTCCAGTCTTTGCTGCTGGGTTCTATTATAAAGGGGCGCCTCTTTCTATTCTGGCAATACCTTCGGCATTTTT